TTCTAGAAAACGATGTTTCATGGCATGAGCCTTCTTTATCATATCTTGACCCTTGCATAAAGCAATGTGAAATGGAAGTTCAAAAGAAAATGTATTCCCAATAAATGGCAAATCAATTGCCTAATGCATTTACTAACAAAAAAAGGATAACTAAATCATATATACCAACTGTTAATGTTCCAGCTCGAATTGAAATTCCATATGGACAATCTGATGAAAAAAGTCACTCAAGAGTCTAAAACACGTTAGAAGCGTGGAATGCCATTTGGTTCTAAGGATAATAATGCATGAAAAAGAATAGTAATAGAAAATGCACTAAATCATGAGGAAATTATTCTTGGAGAAACACAAATTATCAAAATTCCCTCAGGAAAGGAGGATGTTGCACTGAATTATGGTCAAATGAAAAGAATATGTTATCAAAATGAAACTGATAATATAAGTGTAATATTTTCTTATTCAGTTGCATGTGATATTATGAATAATGATTATGAACCACAATCTATTATTGAATGTCAAAGAAGAAATGATTGGGATAAATGAAAGGATGCTATGCAAGTTGAATTAAATTCACTTAACAAGAGAAAGGTTTTTGGGACCATTATCCTCACACCTAGAGTTGTGAAACCGTTAGGGTATAGATAATCTTCGTAGGAAAAAGAAACGAGAAAGAAGAAATTCTAATATACAAGGCCATACTTGTGGCTCAAGGTTTCTCTCAAAGACCTGGAATTGATTATAAGAAAACTTATTCACTCGTAATGGATGCAACCACTTTTAGATATTTAATCAGTTTGGTAGTCTCTTAAAATTTAGAGATGTGTCTTATGGATGTTGTTATTGCTTAGTTGTATGGATCACTTGATAGTGATATCTATATGAAAATCACTGAAGGATTTAAAATGCTTGAAGCATTAAGTGAAAAATCCACATAAATGTATTATATAAAATTGCAAAGATCTTTATATAGATTAAAGACATCTGGATGCACGTGGTACAATCGTTTAAGTGATGATTTGACAAGTAAATGTTATAAAAATAACACTATTTGTCGATGTGTATTTTTTAAGAAAACATCTGGGTATATGATCACAGCGGTCTATGTTAATGATCTAAATATCATTGGAACAAAGAAAGAAATCCTTGATGTGATTTAACTTTTAAGGAAATAAGATATGAAATGAAAGATATTGGAAAAACCAAATATTATGTTCGTTTATAGATTGAGCATATGCCTAATGGAATACTTGTACATCAATCAAATTATATAGAAAGAGTCTTAAAACGTTTCAATATGGCCAATGCCAATTCTTTAAGCATCTCCGTGGTTGTTAGATCATTAAATATTTAAAAAAAATCCATGTCCCTACGAAGAAAATGAAGACGTTCTTGGTTCAGAAGTACCATATCTACATAAAATTAGAGCTCTTATGTATCTTACAAATTGTAGTAGACCTGACATTTCTTTCGCTGTAACTTGCTATTAAGGTTCGGTTTACCACCAACAAAAAGACATTAGAATGGGATCAAGCATATTTTTGGATACCTTCGAGTAACTACTGATTTACGGTTACTTTATCCTAACAATGCTAAACAAGGCTTGATGGATTATAAAGATGCATATTATTTGTATGACCCTCATAAAGCTAGATCTCAAACTGGATATGTATTCATGAATGTAGGTACTGCAATTTAATAACTTTCTCAAAAGCAAATACTTGTTGCTATATCCTCAAATCAATCTGAATTAATTGCACTAAATGAAGCGAATAGAGAATGTACATGGTTAAGATCGATGACCCAACTAATTTTAACTTCATGTGGAATTGAAAAGGATATAGGTCCAACCTTAATTTTGTTGGATTAGTGTCTAGTCCATAACTATTTTGGTATGTATGTGACCCGATGGTGCATGGTCCTTTTGGGTTGCCTTCACCAAAGCAACTTGATAGGATGAATTATGGAGAGAAAGGATTAAATATGATTTTATTAATATATTATGAGAATAATATATTAAAGGAGAAATCATATTGTTTAAATTAATATTAGTCAATAATTAATTGGTAATTAGTTTTGTGACTAAAAGAGATTAATTAAACTTAAGGGATAAGAATTGTAATTATAAGATAATTGCAATTTGGGCTATGGATTGCCTTATATTAAGGAGTGGACGAATTCTATGGGAAAGCCCATGAGGAAATTGTCCAAGGCCTTAAGGAAAGGAATCTATGGGTTGCTTAGGGCTTAAGCATCCAATTTAGGGTTTCCTTTTTAGATAACCCTAATAGCCTAACTATATATACATCCTTTATGACCCAAAAACGTGTCTAAGCATCCTTCTAGGGTTTCACATGTTTTAGGGTAGCCTCCATCCTCTCTCCTCTTCATCCTCTTGCTCTTGGTGTCTGTGAACCATTAGAGGAGTGACATTTGTGACTCTAAGCTTTCTAAAGTCAATACAAGGAGGAATTGGATTGTTATTGCTATATAACAATCAAGGTAATGTCTTAAACCCATTCTTATGTTAATATGATTACTTGCATGCTAGAATTAGGGTTTATAGTCTTGGATAACTTGCATGTACAATAGAGAAACCTAGATCCAAACATTAGGGTTTGTATGAGCACATATGATGTTATTATGACCAAAACCCATCAAATTTATGAAGATAACTCGACATTTGTTACTCAAATGAAAGAATGATATATAAGGAGTGGCAGAACAAAACATATACCTCCAAGTTGCAATAAAGTATACTCAATCCAACAACAATGTAGTAGACCATTTTACGAAGGCCCTTCCTACTGCAATCTTCAGGAAACATATCAATGGCATCGGAACACTACATGTGCATAGAATATAATTTAACATATGTCTAAATTAGGGGGAGTCAACTATATACTGCACTCTTTTTCCCTTCGCTAAATTATTTCCCACTGGTTTTCTGTTAGCAAAGTTTTTAATGATGCAGTACTTCAATGTTGAACTCTGATGTGCACAAATTATACCTATCTAGCTTTAAATTTATAAATCTGACTAGTTATCCACTAATACACATGTAGGTAGTGTGCCTAGTTAGTATCTTGTATAGTAAAGTAAGCTAGGTATTGAACAAAGGTAATAGATTTAGCTAATACTTTAGCTACTAAAAATTAATCTGGAAACACTTAACTAAAGTGGAGGCTTTTCTCTGATTTTTCAAGTTCAGATTAACTTAAAAAAACTCTTAACTAAAAGTGGATGTAATCAAGATAATAAAAATGATTTCGTTTAGTTTTGAATCCATATTTTTCCTATGGCTAGTTCTAATTTATGTATCAATAAAGTTGATGAAAGTTCCTAAGATCAAACAAATTATCAAACAATGACTATAAACAAGAACGAGGATTCACAAAGATAAAATTTCACTAAGAATGATAATCTCACAAAGAGATTATCGAATGCACAAAGCGGCTATTAGGGTTTGTGAAAGATGCACCTTTTACAAACTCGTACAAAAGACTATATAGAACTAATCTGGGCAATCCCTACAAATCAGGGATATACCAACTAACTAATAGACAAAAACTATGGAAACTAGATAAGTACAAAATCTATTACAAAATTCTGAATATGAAACTATACACTGAGCAATTAATACGCTGACGCTAACGCTGAGTCATACGCTGATGCTGAGTGATCAGTCTCAAACATCATCATATTATAAGGTTCGACCTTACAATCTCCCCCAATATGGTGATGTTCAAAACCAGCTAGACTAGAACACCCCTGGACAAAAATTCTTCATACTCAGCTTCAGCTTCTACTTTCACTGGCCAGTAAGGACTATCTAGCAGGTCCTATCTTCTATTCAGTAACTCCATAGCAATCAGTATATGAAACTCTCCAGAGAGATCTTGATGACTCATGCACATTTGTCTTAAACCAACAAGATGTTCTGTTGGATCCCTTGGAATCTCTACAGTACGCTGAAAACACATTTTCTTGTTCTTATCAAGATAAAACATTCCATGTTCAGGAACATAGATGAACTGATGTTGAACTGGCTCAACACCAATAGGAAGAGAGTTGTTTATTTCTTCAGCAACAAAATTTAGAACCAATACATCTTCACCATCAACTTGAAATCTAGTTCTTCTGATTCTTGGAACTGAGGAACTTGGGCCTTGCTGCTGAGGACGCTCTGTAGGAACAAGATCAAGACGCTGAACTTTCTTGATCAGTAAGTGAAGAGCACAGGTTAGTTCTAAAGAAAGAGCTGACGTTTGCTTGGATGCCAACTCAAGCAATTCCATCCATTTAGAGTATCCGTATCTAATCATCTCGTCTCTCTTTATAACTTCAGTGTACGGATGTTGAGGACCTTGACGAGTGATCAACAAAGTAAGGATTTTCTCGTCACGAGGTTTTGAGGTTTTAACTTCGATGATCTTGTCATTGCTTACTCTTCGTTTGAAAACATCTTGAAACCTTTTGCGATCGATCCTGTCAAGAACACTATCAGACCTTGACTTACTGCTACTGGAAGGAGGCTGTGAAGATTTAGTTTTGGACTAATATTCTAGAAACCTTTGCATTTGAACTTCAAAGGATCCCATTGCCTGAAGTTTGTGCTGAATGAGGGATTCATCATCTTGAGCAATATTCTTTAGAAGCTGAGCTTTATTGGCTTTATCAAGGATTTGCTTAACTTGATCAGGGGTCATATTCCATTCAGGTGCCAGATTTGATATGATGACAATAGACTTATGTTTCTTGCTAGGAGGAGAAGTGTCAGCATGTGAATCAGATGATTCAGTATCTACTACCTTTTGCTTTCGAGATAAAGGAACAAGATCCTCACTAACTACATCTGAGTTTTCACCTTGAACTAGCACAGTGGGATCTTTGAAGTTCATGTCGAACATATGACACTCATCATCATGTTCATCTTCATCATCATCTTCACATTCTTCAATATGCTTTTCAGTTTCTGCTAGTCTCTCAAACTCGTGCTCAGGCTATGGTGGTTGCTCCCCCTGAGCAGATGACTCCCCATGAGCTGAATGAACCCTTTTAGTGACATAAATGGTATGATGAGAAATTTGAGGGGAGATATGACCACCTTCTTGTATTTCAGCATTAAGTTCGTCGTTATCAGCAGCTCCTTCGTCAGTGTCAGCGTTTAGTGAAGGAACGATATATGGATTCACGATCCATTCTCGCATCCGATTAGAGATGACGATGCCATTGGCTAGTGGATCATCCTGATACATTCGTACTAACATGCGTGGGCATTGGATGGGGTTTCCAGCATGTGAGTAATAGGCTTCAGCATAAAATTTATCCAGGAAAAGAGTAATCCAGCATGGAAACGGAACATGATCAGCTCTTACATTGGCCTGAAGAAGTTGGACAAGCTTATCGAAGAAGAAGGCCCTATAATCAACACGTTTGTTGAGGAGAAGTGAACATACCACTTGTTGCTCAAAAGCACTCAGTTGATCACCACTGCGAGATTTGTGGCCTATACACTTACAAAGTGCCCCGGTGAAGAACTTCCATCCAGGAGTCATACATTGACGTAGAATGAGAGCTGGTCGAGCACCAGCCTTGGAGTGATCATAGCCCAGTTGGTCAAAGAGGTGTCGACAGCTTTCAATAGTTGGAAGCTCAGAGAATGGTTCAAAAATTGGTAATCTGAGTGCAGTACGGAGGAGATCAGCGTTGATGAAAACTGAGCGACGGCCACGCCCAATAGTGCCAGAGATGATGTTGTTTTCATTATTGACTGTTGCGGTGTAGTAGAACTCACATACTTGTTCGGGAAAGAACTCTGATGGAAACTCACTGATAGAATATCGAAGTCTGCAAGATACTAGAAAATTGACAAAATCATCAAGTCCAAGACCGCGATGAACATCTGGTATATCAGGGTTGAAGATGACATTTGTGGCTTTGATGTATATGGGAAGAGGAGGAGAGTTTGGAGCTGGGATGACTCTTCTTGAGGTGGAGGAGAAAGTAAAAAGTGATGCCCCCATTGAAGAGAGTTTGGATTCTAGGGTTTTGAAGAAAGGAGAAGGAAAATTAAATTGTGGGAGGAAAGTTTGGGAGAGAGGCGGGGAATGAGGTTTAAATATGGGATTAAACGATTTTAAAAAGGTAATGATTATCATTTTCAAAAATAACTGTGTAGCTTAACAAACTGTCAAATCCGAAAAAATAGCCGTTGGAAAAAAATAGGCCGTTGTACTGAAGAGGAAACGACAATTAGTGTCTGCGAAAGCGCTGAGATTAGTGTCACTAAAAGTTACATGCTGAAAGATAATCTGTCGTCCATTCAAATTACAACTTTCTTGTTTAAGGTTAGCAAGGTGGTTGATGCATGTGATAGATACTGGTTTAATTATCTAACCATCGGCACAGAGTGTTGAGTCTTTATCAGTGAGTGGTGCTTCTTACTGAATCATTAGACACAGAGTGAGAAGAAGGTGAAGAGAGGATTGTTGCGTGTGATAGACCTTGGTGTTTTGGTCTAACCATCGGCAAAGACTGTTAGACTCTCACCAGCATGTGTTTTGTCACACTGAATCACATAATCAGTGTGAGATTGGTAAGAAGGGATAGTTGCGTGTGATAGATCTTGGTGTTTTGTCTAACCATCGGCAAAGAGTTTCAAGTTGTTATCAGTGTACGGTTTAATATAGTGAATCATTCAACTTTAGTTTAGAAGATTTGTAGAAGAGATAGAGATAAGAGATCATACAAGGTACTCAGCATGGTAAACATCACCAGCACATCATCATCAGCAAAAAAATACATCAGTTTATAAGATAATAGCAAACATTAGTAAATTTTTTTTTTTTAAATCCAGAGTGATCATTCCAAGTTCTCCAATAATGTGAGCAGTAGTTTAAGTATCCAGGACCTTGGTGAAAATATCAGCTAGTTGATTTGAAGTCTTGACATGTTCTAGAACAACCTTGCCCTTCTCAACATTGTCTCTGATGAAGTGATGTCTGATCTCCATATGGTTTGTCTTTGAGTGCTGAACAGGATTCTGTGTGATCTGAATGGCACTGGTGTTATCATAGTATATAGGAGTCTTTGTCAATTTAAGCCCATAGTCTAAAAGCTGATTCTGAATCCATAAGACTTGAGCACAACATCTCCCAACTGCAACATACTCAGCTTCTGCAGTGGAGATAGCTACTGAGGTTTGCTTCTTGCTAGACCAGCTGATTAGTCGATTTCCAAGGAAATGACATCCACCCGACGTGCTCTTCTTGTCTAGGTTGCATCCTGCATAGTCGGAATCAGTGTATCCAAAGAGTTCAAGTGCTGAGTCACGAGGGTACCACAATGCCAAGTTCTGAGTGCCCTTTAAGTATCGAAAAATGCGTTTAAGTGCAATTAGATGAGACTCCTTGGGATTATCTTGAAATATAGCATAAAGAATGGTTCCAAACATGATATCAGGGCGACTTGCAGTGAGGTAGAGAAGAGATCCAATCATTCCTCGATAAGGAGAGTGATCAACATCAGTGCCGGTGGGATCAGTGTGTAGCTAGTAGTCTTGGACACCGGAGTAGAGGCCGGTTTGCAGTCGTTGAGAGAGTACTTAACAAGCATGTCAGCAATATATTTACTTTGACAAATTGAGATACCTAATTTTTGTTGCTGAACCTCAAGACCTAAGAAAAAGGTCATCTTCCCCATCATGCTCATCTCGAACCTTTGAGACATGATCTCAGCGAATTCCTTGCTCAGCGTCTCATTTGGAGAGCCAAAGATGATATCATCGACATAGATTTGAACAAGAATCATGTATGAGCCTTTGTTTGAAAATAATGCCACTGATATCTCAAAAGTCTCACAATGAAAGCAGCACTAGCAACTACCTTTTCCATATCATTAGTCTCACTTTTAGAAGAATCAGTGTCTGAATGGTTTTCAGTGTCTGACTCTGACACTTGCTTTTTGTTTAAAAATAATGCCACTGATAACTCACGCTGAGCATCCTTCATCAACTCCTTCCTCTGGAGCTTGGATTCCTCATAGTATCGAAGGTTTCCATAAAGACTTTGTAAATCCATTGTGCTGATCTTCTCACTATTTTTCAGTACATCAACATGATTCTCCCAACCTGCACCTAGAGAATCCAAAAACTTCTGCACTAGAACAGTTTGATGCTTCAACTGATCTAGTCTCCGCAGATCATTAACAAGAGTATTAAACCTGTTGAAGGTTTGAGTCTGGGTTTCACCTTTCTTTGCAAAGAAATGTTCATACCTTCTGTTTAGATCATTTATCTGAGTGGCCCTGACTTCCTCAGTGCCTTCAAAAGACACAGTCAACATGTCCATCATTTCTTTTGCTGAGATGCAGTTTTGAACCAACCCAAAGAGATTATATGGCAAAGCATAGCTGATTGCAGCCCGAGCATGTACATCTAGACCATTCTTTCTTTTATCATCTGTTGTCCAGTTCTCCCTAGGTGTCTTCTTCATGTCACCCTCAGGAGCATTGTTTTTCAAGGGCTGATACATCGGAACATATGGACCATCATTGATGATGTCCAACATGTCTTCATCTACAGATTCCAATGCACAGAGAGCTTTGATTTTCCACATAGCAAAATTGGTTTCATCAAATGGAGGAATTTTAGCAAAAGAATGATTTGATGAATTTAAAGAAGAAGACGATGAAGCCATTTGTTTGATAAGAGAACACTGCTATGATACCAATTGAAAGTTCCTAAGATCAAACAAATTATCAAACAATGACTATAAACAAGAACAACGAGGATTCACAAAGATAAACTTTCACTAAGAATGATAATCTCACAAAGGGATTATCAAATGCACAAAGGGTCTATTAGGGTTTGTGAAAGATGCACCTTTTACAAACTCGTACAAAAGACTATATAGAACTAATCTGGGCAATCCCTACAAATCAGGGCCATACCAACTAACTAATAGACAAAAACTATGGAAACTAGATAAGTACAAAATCTGTTACAAAATTCTGAATATGAAACTATACACTGAGCAATTAATACGCTGACACTGACGCTGAGTCATACGCTGACGCTGAGTGATTAGTCTCAAACATCATCATATTATAAGGTTCGACCTTACAGTTGATTACCAATTTATATGTAATTAGCAATCTTGATCCGATCTACTAATATTTTTACCAATTCATGTTCTAGTATGTAATGGTCATACACAAGCAAACATATAATTGATTAATAATGATAATTAGGCTATGTAAGATATGTTTAGATAATTATCTATGGTCAAGACAATTAATCAAAAATAATTATGATCAAATTATGTTCTTTAAAACAGCTAAAGTTATTACCTTTATTATTCAATCTAAGATGTGGTTAATCCTAGCTCTAACAATTTAATGGTCACTAAACGAATGACTTGATGGTTTTTGTCTTCTAGATCTCTTTAATTCTTGTGCTCCAATCATTTCCTTATCTTCTAAGGGTTTTCCAAGAGGGTTTTTTCGCAATACCTCTCCAGAAAGTCACCGCCAAGTCCACCAATTCGTCCTAATGTTTGGATATATATATATATATATATATATATATATATATATATATATGCTTGCCTAAAACAAGGCCACCACATCGTGTTAATGGGACCACATATTGGTCCTCGAGTTTATCCCGTATTCTCCAAGTCAGCGGCAAGAATCGTGAAGATTACATTCACCATGTCATGGTTATTGAGAATCAACATTTTCTCAAAACACGAAAGCTGTCCGAAATTGTGTCTAGCATTCAGATCATTCTGAATCATGTCAATCAGAGTTATGAGTCATGAAATATGGCTAAAATACTGACAATGGGTCAAACTGTCCAACAACATCCTTCTTGTGTCTTCTTCTTGCCTATGCTCGCATTTTCCTGCTTTTAGCTCGCATATTGCCTCCGAGAATGTCTTTTACGCTACATAATATATATTAAACATAATAATCCCCTTTTGTTCTATAATAAGAATAAATATAGCTAAAAAATATTAAGATATGATGTAAAATGTATATGTAGATATGCATATATATCAAAATACCCCACACTTAACCTTTGCTTGCACCTAATCAAACTGATTTTTATCTTAAAAATATCCTGTAAAACAATCCATTTTAAACCCAAACATTAACCCAATACCACAATGCATATATTTAGGTCTATAATTTCTAAAACTTCCTAATCCTAAATACTCACAATCCTTATGAACATTCACCTCTTAGTTTATAGGACACTCATTTTTGCAACCTTTCGAATCCATCCTCAAAAATCTTTCTTAACCTCAAGGTATTTTTAGTTCAACTACCAAGCATACGTACATTTTAGAGAGAATTACAACTTTACTACCACAATCGAGCTCTTTGAATTCATCTCTTATTTGATATTTTCTCTTCAATTTCTTTGAATTCACCACATTCTTATTTGATTTTTGGTATCTTCAACTTTTTAATTCTTCAATTTTTTTTTTATCTTTTTATCTTCATACTTTGCTAGCTCCAAATTCTTCCAAATTTTGCATGTTCTCTCTTTTTTATCTCTCTTTTTTCCACTTAAATCCTAAATGCTTAAACAATGAGCTTAACTTCAACCTTTATTGGTTAGAGCTATTAGTATAAGTATGACTACATAAGCTCTCCTGGATGGATTTCAGGTACATGCTTCAAAACTTATTACATCTTACAAACTATCATATTACCTTTCATATCTCATGACTTTTCACTAGGAAATGGGAAGCCACAAATACACTATAACATATATTAGGTCAGTTAAACATTTAGGCTCGCATCAGATCGTCCCACACAATATATCAAAAAATTTCTAATTGGCTAAATTTCCTAAATTAAACTATTATTTAATGTTTATGTGAATGCATATTGTCAAAACTAGCAATTTTTTTGTGATAGTGCAATTTTGTAAAATTCATATGCTTGTACTCTAATGTAATCAACCCCATACCCACACTTCTTTTATGCAATGTTTCCATTGAATACTATGAAA